GACAAGCCTCTGCCCTTTTATCTATTTCTCATTTCACTGTCTGCATTGAGAATGAATATATGTTTCTAGGAAATGGTTTGTATTTCATGTGAAAGGGTCTTTGTAGATTATTAGAAGTCAGTAGCAGTAGTTCTGTTGTCTTATATCTAGTTTTGTTTCCAATTTTTCCATTTCTTATTCATCATTATCTTAGATATTCACAGTGGTGTCTTTTACTCTTCTTGTACAAACTGTCTCCTCCACCCCAGTAGTAGTCGCCCTGTTCTTCCTTGATTTTCTTCCAGCATGCCCAAATCTTGTTCAGACAGATGCCAAACTAAGACTGTGCATTCTTCTCAGCTGTGCTGTGACTGCTGTCTGTGCAGCCTACGCCACAAGATCTGTGGAGTCCAAAATCTCACTGGTACTTTTGCAGCCGTACTAACAAGCTCATCACCCATTTGCAGCTCACTTTCACTCTGCATAAATTTTTAGCATTAATTTCTGTGTTTGTGTCTTCAGCTGAAGTATCTCTAGTTCACATTTTTCCTTTTCAAAAGTGTTTGCTTCTAGTTATGCAAGATGCGTATTACTATTTCATGTCTGGGTTCTTACCACTCCCATTTATTTTTCTCATTGTTCTAATCTGACATTTGCCGCACTTCCCAGTTTTAAGATATCTTTGCACCTTAGACGTTTTAATCTTAGTAATTTTCTATTTCCTGTTTCAAATCATTAAAAAAGCTATTAAGTAAATAAGATCATAATATTTACTTTCTTTAAGCTACCTCAAAAACTTCCCCCCTCATCTTGATACATCATTCTTTGTTGTTGCTTAGAAGTTTGTCTGTAAGTCACGTGATATTGTCCTTATTCAGGAAACTAATTCAAATTGTCCTAGCTGAGGTTTCACAAGACCTTGTATGAAACAAAAAGAAAATTCAGTTACAAGTATATTGTCATCTGAGTTTCAGTTAACTATTAATTCTACAGTACTGTTGAAAAAGCAGCCATTTGTCCAGAAATGGCTTGTTCATTATAAGGTCTTGGTGCCTAATGCTCATCTTCCCGTGACTCTATAGAGATGTTTTATTTTCATTTATATAGCACCATAAATTGGCAAAACATTAGATTTAGAATAAGCTGCACTCTTCTCCCTGAAGATCTCATGTTATTAAAGGCCCATTAAAGCAGCAACAGTCACATGAATGTGCTTCCCTGTCCTACACAGAAAACCAGGGTCCTGTTAGACAAACAGCAGTGGCGTGGTAGCCACAGAGGACTCAGACCTTCCCTACTTCTCCATTTTTCTTACTTTATATTGGCTAGTTATTGCCTCTAAGGGGCTCAGTGTCTCGGGAGATGGATGCTGCGGTTCGCTGAAGTATCAAGAATGGGAGAGAGTCATGAAACTCCTTTGTAGAATTTGGCTTCTAATTTATCGATGGGAAATCAGGAACCCCAAATTTCCATTGACATCAAGTTTTCTTTGGAGGTCCTGGCAGGTATCAGTACCTTTCAAGACAGAATCCTAAACAGCAGGTTCGTGAGGCATGCTTTGGATGACATCCTTTATCATTTGACACTCCCAGGATGTCTAGCCATGTTATTGTTTTACTTGTGTGTTGAGTATGTGTGTTTGGAGCTATATGCTGCTTGTCGAAATTGCAAACAGTGTTAAAATTGTGACTTTCTCTAAGCTTTTCCTTGTAGTTCTGGTTGAAAATGCAGGAAATATTGATAAAGGTTAGCAGCATGTCTTGAGTCAGAATTTTCCACCATTACTCTTCTGCCCGAGTTTCACAGTTCTTTCCTCTGGTTTGTCTTTGTTGGATGATATTGAGCTTCTGGTGTATAGCTAGGACTATAGGATTCCCAGCAATATGGCTATTTCGGAAAGAGAAGCTAGGAATCATAGTTTTAGCATGTCTTTTGGTGGAAGAAACAACTGCCATACTTCTTTAATTTCTTTTTGAATCACAGAATGGTTTGGGTTGGAAGGGACCTTAAAGACCATCCAGTTCCAACCCCTTGCCATGGGCAGGGACACCTTCCACTAGACCAGGTTGCTCAAAGCCTCATCCAGCCTGGCCTTGAACACTTCCAGGGATGGGGCATCCACAGCTTCTCTGAGCAACCTGTTCCAGTGCCTCACCACCCTCTCTGGGAAGAATTTCTTCCTGATATCCAGTCTAAACCTCCCCACTGTCAATTTCAACCTGTTACCCCTTGTCCTGTCACTACAGGCCCTTGGAAGAAGGTTTAGGTTGAAAAGCGTTATTAAAGTAGCTGTTTTCAAAACTTCAACTCCTATAACCCAGTAACTTGAGAATCAAAACCCCACCCAGACTGCCTTTAGATATATGTTCCAGGCATCATTGATTTTTGAAATGCATCCTACAAGTGCTGATTCTGCAAGCAGTTTGTTATAACCAGATCTAAAAGCCCTCTATCTCCTATCAGCTGACGGTTGTGCTATAACCTTTGGCTTCAGACTGCTGGTAGGAACATGGTACATATTTCTTCAAAGAATGAAACGCTAAGGGCCTTATCAAACAACAGCAGTACTCATTGTGTTTAACAGTGCTGGAAATTAGTTTCTCGGGCACTGATCTTGACAGGTCAGCTGTCACAAATTGGCAGATCTATCTGTAAATACATCGGTCCTATAAACAAAATTCTGTCTGCAAGAAGTGGAAGTTAAACCCGGCACACTTCTCAACAAATGAAATGTTCTGAAGCACAAGGATGCGCAGGAAAAATCCTGTCTGGAAAAGGTTTTCCTCATGTTCCACTTATCATTTTAACTGCATAGTTTGTGCCTCCATAGAGAACACTATGGAGTTCTGTGCAGAAGTGAAATATGCTCCTCATCCTTGCATCTACCCCTGCTGTGTAAAAGAGGGATCTTTGTCTATCTCCTTTTGAATAGTTTTAACGCTGGCATGTTTCCGGCTCCTTTTAGGAATCCTTAGTGCTAACGCAGAATGCAAAACGTAGGGTATTCGAAAAGTCTAAGGCTTTGATATGAAACCAGATAGAGTTCTTGAAGGGAAAAGGAGTGGGAGAAGGACTTGAAATGGCAGTCCGCCAGTGGTGAAGTAACAAATGAATGTGTTACATTTCCCATTTTTTAATAAATATTTAATCATCATCTGTAGAACGTGCAAGCCATTTTGGCCAAAACCTTTCACATACCTTTATCCTACACTTACTGCAAAGGACCGCAGAAGAAGGCTTGGACAGTAAACTTTCTTTACAGGTTTGAGACTCAGTATATAACACACACACCTATGCTGGTCTTTGAGGTGTGTTGAACCCTACTGATTTATGTCAGCTGACAGATTGGTCAGTTTTGTTTGGTAATAGCAAAAGGTAAGAAACTTCTGGACGTATCTCAGAGCAAGCACCTACATCTGAATTTAAAATATACCACGGCTATAGGCATCTACATGTATTGCTGCAGACACTTGTGCAGAAGATCATCTGTCACTCCAAACGGGCATCACTGGCAGATATCTCAGTCTGAGAGTTTGAGATTTCAGGAATGTTATTAGAAAGCTGAATATTATTCAGTCATTCTCCTCCATCCTCCAGGTCAGTGGGATAAAATGAAGTGTGGCTTAATTCTTTCCGGTGTCTCAGCTTTGAAAATAGAGTGACGATGGAATAATTTTCATCAGTTGTGATAGTTGTGGTGGCTGAATATTCACTGAATGTCCTGTTCTTTTCTAGTTCCCTGTTTATTAGTTTAGTACAACAAAACAAGAATAAAGCCATGCAGATCTCGCCCATCACGTTTTTTTGTTGGTTTGATTTTTAGGCTCTAGGATAAAATTGAAGTCATAGAAATAAATCATGTAGGACATCCAGCCACAGGCATTTTCAGTGAAATAAGTTCTTTCCAAGAAGGTTTTGACTTGTTACATGAAAATTAGCTTCTGGCAGGAAGAAGCCACATTTCACAAATCTTTGACTATGTTTAATTTCTACAGGGCATGCCTTCAGCTAACACTACTTCCATATATGCAAGCATAGTATTGGTGTTTAAGAGTATAGCTGACAAAAAAGAAGGAAATGGTTTCTACTTGATACTATTTATGACTCCTGAAAAAAATGACACCATGGATTCTGTTTGAAGGCAAAAGGAGTGCCTGACTTCTGCTGATGAAGAGCATGCTTAGTTTGAATAATCTAAAGGTCACTTAAGATTGACTTTTCTATTGAAACTATTCTATTGAATTGTACTGCATTCCTTTTCAGAAAATGTAGTAAAATTGATTTTTAAATCAATACATTTAATTGAAAAAGAAAATATTTAAATTTAATGTTCCAGGGTGATATCCTGAAAATATGCACCCAGGCACATCTGGCATACGCATGAAGTTCTGGGTTCTGGTAGATATGAGATATTTAATCATCAGGAGCCTGGGAACTTGAGAGGCTGTCATTGTTTTACTGATGAGGTAGAATTAGGGCAAGAAGAGAGGAAATAGGACTTTAGATAGGATCTGAAGAAAGTCCAAGAGAGAAGAGGAGGCAGTTTGACACTATAGAATCCGTGTCATGAACTTATGACCACCAGTGAACAAGAATGTTATGCAGCAGGAAAACAGGTCAGTCTTTTATCAGCAGTAGGGAATGATTTGAAGAGTAGGAGGGGATCTGAGCAGAGAGGGAAATATGGGATAGTGAGACCATGGATAATCCTGAGGACTGTCAGGCAATAGAAACTTACTGGACAGAAATGTCATATCAGAGTGAGCTCTGTGAAATAATACGACAAATACTACAGAGAATAGAGCAGTTACATTACTGACACTGATGAAAACACATTGAGGCAAGGTACTTGTTTATATCTGTCCTCTGAATTTCACTAATTTTGATGCTGCATTAAAAGCACACACTTCTCTTATCCTCTCTCAGTTCTGGGTTCAGTCAAGCTACTGTTAAATGTTTATATAAATACTGAAAAATTTCTGCCTAACAGCCCTTCAGACTCACTGTACTTTCTGTTCTAGCTGGCCACGTGGGACTCTGAGAAAGGACTGAACGGTAGTCTGCAAGAACGGCGTCTGGGCAATGACTTACAAGGACTGACACTCAAAGTGGTGACTGTCTTGGTATGATCCTACTGAGTTCAGGAAACAAACACTCAAAAAGAATCTGACTGGCTATTTGGAGCACTTCCCTCAGTGTTTTTCCTTATCATTTTCAGTTCTGTATTTTTGGATGATTGGTTACATAAGCAAGGAACATAGATGATGGCCTTTTATTTTATGGGAAGCTGTGCACTGTCAGAGATACAGAGCATTTGTTTGCTTATGCTGCTTTTCTGCATTGTAATTCCTACTGAGCTTGGAACCAGCACCGAACCTGGGTGCACAGGGTGCATTCCAGATACTGTTCTCTAATTTAGATAGGCAGTTTCCAGCATGTCATGGATTTTACAATCAGATGGGCCAATTATGATAATCTAATCTTGGCTCTTGTACACTGAAGACTGTAAAATTTAATCAAGTGTTTCCTTCATCAAACTCATAAATTCCCATTGAAATAATCTATAACTTTTAGAAAGGCACAGTCTTTCCAAAAAATCGTTATGCTTCTGGGACTACTGTCTGGTAGTATCTTGAGTGGTAGTAGAGCTCCTGTGCTACACCAGGGGCAAATTAGGGCTTGAATGTATTCTTGCCTAAAATACTGTAGTTTGCAACTTGTACAATGTGATGGAGGGTTTTTTTTGTCATTTGTGTTTCTCTTTTCTGAATCATGGTGCAAATGGGAAGTACTGCATAAGATTGTTAGGGTACTCCCCCCGGCTTTCTTTGCTCTCTCTGGTGACAGTCAAGGTTATGATGTAGCTTATGTGGGAGGTCAGCAGATCCCTTCCATGAGAATGTCGGCACCAGGTTGCAAAGGCAGCCAACTTCAGTGGCTGTGCTGCCAGCAGCCCTGGCGTTCCTCCACAGGAGAGCCCACGCCTGACAAAAAAAGTACCACAAAATGCTGCATTTCCTTGGTCCCAAAACATACTATACTATAAAATAATAGCCTGTTTTTCCCTCAGAAGATTATGAGTGTTTCAAGATCTATACCAAGTTGTCCGGAATTAATTCAGGAAACATACTTTTGCCAAGAGAGGCAAATTAAAAAAACTTGTTTCAAGTATCAGTTAAGACATTGTTTTGTTCTCAGGAAGAACCTTTTGTGATGGTGGCGGAGAACATACTTGGGCAACCAAAACGATATAAAGGATTTTCCATTGATGTCTTGGATGCACTTGCCAAGAACCTGGGCTTCAAATATGAGATATATCAAGCTCCTGATGGCAAATATGGACAGCAGCTTCAAAACAGCTCCTGGAATGGCATGATTGGAGAACTGATTAACAAGGTACAGAGAGAAGTTGCATTAAAAAAAAAAAAAAAAAAGCCAACAAACAAAAAATATCTTTAGGGTGTCAAAGCTTTGTAAGGGCATTGTTTAAATTCTCCCATTCCTTCATTCTAAATTACAAGAGAATTAGTTAGGATACAAGCACCAGTACAGAATGCTTCTGAGCTATGGGTGTTTGATTGTGGTGTAAACTGTGCAATTTAAAACCTGTACATAAGATAGGAACTAGAGTCCATCATTTTATTTACTTCCAACTGTTCTCAACATAAAATATATCAGTGTAAATCTGTGTGTTTGCATAGTTCTAAGAATAAGAAGAGAGGACTTATGTGTGTGTGAATGAAAGACTATAGAATAAATATAAAAATATTTTTAAAATATTGATTACTATTATTTTAATTTTTGTCCTTATGCCTTTGCTACTTGTTTTTAGGTAAGACTTTATTTGGATGACTTTGTGGCAGTGTGTTTGATAATCATTAACTGTTAGACTCCAAAACAGGAAAAGTGTCCCTAGTAATGTACCATAAAGAAGTGTTTTGAAGGACCAGAATTTAAACTGATCTCAAGATTATTCACTCGTTTAAAACAGAGAGGACCAAATTTCTTTTTTTTAATTACAGCCTTGGAAATCAGGAGTAAGTTAATTGAACTCCTTTGAAGTAAATGGGGAAAGTCCGTAGCTTAGAATCTCCTGGAGAATGAAATTAGAGTGTATTTTGTTCATGTTCTTGCTATCTGACATGGGACAAATGTTAATCAAGGAGGAGAATCAAAGGAATTAATATTCCATGTTGCTGCCCTTTGTAGAAAAGGTTACTCATCTGCGGTGGAGTTATTACTGAAAGCGAAAGCTTTCTCATTATCTAGTAAGTAGGCGGCTCAGTATCTGGTAAGTAGATGTTTAGGAAGACATAGAAGCAATTAAAGAAATAGCAAATATGTGTATGATAATGGGATATTCTTGGTTGGTGCACGGAAATATAAAGACTTTTTAACTTATTTTGCGTTGACATAAGCTGTTTGAATTTCATTGACTTGAAAATGTGGTAAGAAATCCTGTTAAATTTCTTTGGAAATTGCTTTCTTTGAAGCAACAAAGTATCTGTTAAGGTATTTTTTAAATGGTATTTCTGCTACTAGCTTTTCCACTGACTCCAAAGGATTTCAAAGCAGACCTCCCGCACCTAATGCTTGCTTTACTTTCCCAACAAAACGTAGAGATAGGAAACAAAAAGTACATTCTGTTTTTTGAAGAGAACTGTTTTTATTAAGATGGAAAAATATTCAAAATCTAATTTCAGCTCTTCAAAAGCTTTGGGAATATTATTTATTAACTTCTGTTTCATCTTTCATTGAGTTCGCATACTCTTTAAGGACCCTCCACGTGTAAAACCTACTCGCTTTAAATGTTGAGGTCAAAGCAGTTTCAGGAGCGAAGTTGCCTTTGGTGCATTCTTCCTGTTACTGGCTTTTGCAATCACTTTATTCATTATAAAAAATAAACAAAAACTTGCCCCCCTTTGTGGTATGAAATCCCTTGATGAATACACACAGTTGGCAACTCTGCAGGGCGAACAACAAACGTTAGCTCTTCGCACCCAGCTATCAAATACACAAGCTAAATAAATGGGGTGTGTTTCTTACTGGTTGCAGTGCACCAGGTTATAATACGGTTTGGTGTTTTGGGCGTCCTTTGGAAAACAAGTGAGAGAGAAAAGTTAAATAAATTGCACTCATTCCAGAGAGGAGTCAGGGTGACACTTTTTGTTCTAGAATACTTTGATTATGTGTCACTGTTTTGCTTTAGACCAGTGCAATTACTGAGCGTTTAAATGATGCAACTGATTCTGGTTTTATTTCTCAGCAATTTATTCTGATTTGTCTAAACATGTTAAATTATAGAAAGAAATGTATGGAGCCACTTGGTTCTTAAAAAGCTTCTCCTTAATGCTCACGCTGGCAGAATTCATGGTGAAAGGAAGAGACCTGATCTGTTGCGTTTGTCTCGCAGAGAGCAGACCTAGCCATCTCAGCCATCACTATAACACCAGAACGAGAGAGTGTTGTGGACTTCAGCAAGCGGTACATGGACTATTCCGTCGGGATCTTAATCAAAAAGCCCGAAGAAAAAATCAACATCTTCTCTCTCTTTGCTCCTTTCGACTTTGCGGTGTGGGCTTGCATCGCTGCAGCCATTCCTATAGTCGGTGTCTTGATATTTGTCTTGAACCGTATCCAGGCAATCAGGGCACAGAACGCTTCCCAGCCGAGCCCTTCTGCTTCCTCCACCCTTCACAGTGCCATCTGGGTCGTGTATGGCGCCTTTGTTCAGCAAGGTACTTACTCCCTTATCAGCGCCACTGACGGATGGTCAGAGGTGTTCTGCCTTGGGTAAAGCAGGTCAGGACGCGTTAGTCTCGGCCAGAACGATCGAAAGATGAAAGAGAAGGCTCCTGTGTGGAGGTAATATGTTTTATTAGCCTAGCTGATGAAAGGTGGGAAGAGGTAGGTAAGCTTTTGGGGGTTGTGTTCTGCTTTTCTGTCTCTCAGTAAGTCCAGAGGAACCACAGCATGCTGGGGTTTCCACTTTGGGAAAATCACTGCCTGATAAATAAACTGCAGAGCTGCTTGGTGCAGAATTACATCACTTTTTGAACTCTGAAACTGGCACCTTTTCTAATTGTTTGAATGTAATTTTAGAAATTTATATGTTTTTGGACTGAAGTGGGACAGTTTATCTTTTGGTTCTTTGAACTGAATGGGAAAATGGTTTGTAGTCAAGTAGCTAACTTCACCCTTGGAATCTCTAGGCACAGGACTAATCCTGTTGAATTCAGTAGGATTGCTACCGTTAACGAAGTTACTTTTTAAAATAATTGTTTGCAGAATCTGCCAACACCGTTTTTGTCCCGTATCTATAATGTTAGTACTACTCTCGGAAGGCAGGTTTTGATGAATGCTAACATTCATGTTAGCATAACGTTAACGTTTCTCTACGCTCTTTTTTTCATTGTGACTGCAAGCTTATAACGCTTCAGCTGGAAAATCCTTACTATTGCGGTGAAACTTGGTCCCTCATTAAGGTGGCAGCCCTGTTGGGTTTAAGAACAGTGAGATGTAATCAGCACAAACGTACGCTGAAGTGACTAGCACGAGCTGTATGGTAAGGTTTGGTCTCCAGCAGTGCTCAAACATAACTGTGCCTGAAGCCTGCTAGACTGAAATCTTCAGTTTATTTGGTCTGTTGAAAAGAGTAACAAGTAATGGCACTCATGCTTCAGTCTTTGGAGATTTAAATACACCACAGATAGCACACAAACCTTTGGACAGTTCTGTGGGTTTTGTTTTCCAAGTCTAAAATGGTCATCGAGAATAAAATATTACCATATTCTGAACACTCATGATTTCATTCCTGCGTATAAGTTATGCCTCACTATTAAACTTTATTCAGGATATTTTTCATGTTCTGTGGATTTGATCCTCAATAATTCCCAAAGGAAATATTTTGAAAGATGATCTTCTAGAACAGTATCCAGGGCAAGAGATGATGTTTGTAAATTATCAGTCTCAGCGGAAGCAGTTCTTTTCTCACAGCGAAAGGGCATTCTGGAGGGGAGGCAGAAATGCAGAGGGGTAGCTCCAACGAAGTTTAGCATAACAGGACACACAGAGGGTGATAGTAAACGGAAGCTGCTGAGGGACCCTCATTTCTCTGTTTATTTGTAGGGAGCGAATCTACTGTCAATTCTGTGGCGATGCGCATTGTAATGGGAAGCTGGTGGCTCTTCACCCTTATCGTGTGCTCTTCCTACACAGCAAACTTAGCAGCATTTCTCACTGTATCAAGAATGGATAATCCTATAAGGTAAGAGCCTCTTCCTAATATGGAGCTGGAAACCTGGATTTCACAGAAAGGCATTATCCGTTCGAGCATTCATTCTTGCAAGAAGGAGATAACTCTAATAAAATACTCTCCTTATTTGCAGTGGCTGCTTTTCTCTTCTCAACACCCTTTTCCTTTGCTCCTACAACCCCCCAGCAGTTCTGACAGGTGCATGGAGGGGACAATGGCACTTTAATTGTGTATTTTTTCAAAGAGATGTCTTTGATGTTTATATGTATTTTGCTATACTAGAGCGCTCAGTGCTTCAGCTGTCCTTATTTCTTTGTTTAACATCAGAGAGAACTCTCACCTCTGGGGAATTATATAGCATCTGACTTTTCACCTTCGATGTGTAATTTTACGTTCTCAATATTTTGATATACACTCTTCTTTATACCATTATTTGCATGTAAGGTAATATAGGTGATCTTTTAAAATACAAATGGCCAAAATATAAATGGCCAGAATCTGTGTGATTATTTACACAAAAAGCTGCTTCTCAAGGACAAGATAACTGAACCTAAATCCAGGATAACAGATGCAATATAGCAGTTGTTTTATTAAATTTATATATAGTTCTCTACAGTTGTGTTGGAAATATTATGATGATAATTTACAGCTTCTGTAACAAACCAATTTTATCTTGCACTTCAGACTTTTTTCCCTGCTGTTTGCCTACTAATCCATGCCCAATGATAATATTTTCCAATACACCAGAGCTCTCAGCAGCTACAGACAGCTGCTAGTTATTTGGTGGCAATTTGTGTGTGTGCAATTTGTTGTTCTTCAGAAAATGTAAAGGCTAAAGAATGTTTTCACTTTCTTTCTCTCAAAACATGGACAAAATTTCCATCTTCAAACTGTCTGGGAGCACTGAGAGGGCTGTTGCTTTTCCATAGTCAGCAATGGCAGGATTAGAGCCTGGTATCTCATGTTTGGTCTGATGGTAATGGAGAGTTGGCCAGAGGACGGGCAGTGCAACACAGGCTCTCTTCCTAGAGAGCTGAGAATAGGATTTTAGGTGCTAGAACGTGACACAGTTACTCCGTTGGTCTCACTTGTTGATGCATTGGGAAAACAAGCACTGTAATCTTTGCTTGGCTCCTGAAATGAAAGCAATGACACTTAGGTGAGCCTGGCACTTAAAAAAGCTGCTTTTGCCTTCTTTGTGGTATCTGCACAGAAGGACACGAAAAAGTGCATTTCTCATAAACAAGAGTTTAACAGTATGTTAAACTTGTGTACTTGCAGCTAATAAAATGCTTTGTATGGATATAATAATAAAACCAGCCCAAAGCCATAAAAAGTTTTTGTTTTAAATTAATTCTCTGTTGGTTTGGTCAAAATAAGTGGGTTTTAACAGCAATAGAAATAAGAACTGCAAGTAATTTCTTGAAATAACATGAGCAACTAGCAGAATAGAAGTAGTGCCTGGCTGTAATGGGAATAAGGTTAAACTCAATGAATATAGAGCTCTTGAAACCCAAGCCAGAAATACTTTTCTGGAAATCTTGAATAATGATCTTCTCAAAAATTTATGAAAGTTCTAGTTCCTTCATGGAAGAAGAAATTGTCTGTTTGATCCACTGAGCACCTCCCAAAACTCAACCAAGTTCAGAGGAGGACAAAATTTGGGGTGAAATGCAGTGAGGAATCTGCAAAGACAGACATAGGTTTAAGAGCAGAACTGTGAATTACTAGAGGAGGCCTTTGAGTCTGATTTATTACAATATTTACAAGGGGTCCTGATTCCTCTGCTTATAAAAATGAACGGACATGGCTAGAACGTTGAGGGAGGATGTTATAGTTTAACCCCAGCCAGCAGCTAAGCACCACACAGCCACTTGGGATGGAGGGTGAAAGTGAGAAAACTCCTGGGTTGAGATAAACACAGTTTAATAGGTAAAGCAAAAGCTGTGCATGCAAGCACAGCAAAACGAGGAATGCATTCACCACTTCCTGTGGGCAGGCAGCTGTTCAGCCATCGTCAGGAAGGCAGGGCTCCGTCATGCGTAACAGTTGCTTGGGAAGACAAACACCATCACTTCGAATGTCCCCTCCCTTCCTTCTTCCTCTTCCTTCAGCTTGATGTGCTGAGCATGTCATACAGTATGGAATATCCCTTTGATCAGTTTTGGGACTTCAGTGCCCAGACGCCCTACTACTGTCGGAGATGGCAGCTGAAGAATTTCAGTTAAATGCCTCTCTATACCTAACGGTGGCTGCCACTTTTCAGGTTCCTGCTATCACATCCCCTCGTACAAGGTGAGGATTCAGAAGGAAGATAAGCACTCTGTTGTGATCCGCAACACCAGCAGAGTAATTAAGGTGCCAAACCAGAAAAGTTTAAAGTAATTTAAGCTGCCATAAGGTTCACTGCCTGTGCTCCAGCTATTTGGCTGTAAGGGAAGAGGTCTCTTTTAGGTGATGTCAGCCACAATGTGGATTATTCATATTGCCTGGGGTGTCTACAGTGGTCCCAGATGCTTTGGTTTAGGCACCTGAATCATTCACCAAATAATCTGAAATGGTAGCTGTCAGAATACTCTCCAATGTGGTCACTGCTTGGCATTACTGAGCCAGTTAAGGGACTTGCTTGGCTTGGCTTGCTGAAGGTGATTTTACAGTTTTCTGAATCTCCCTGAGATTTACTACTCTCGGAGATGTGGGCTAAGCCCTCTCATCCAAAACTGCTAACGCCTTAGGAGAGGGAATGGGGTAAAGAAATAGGTTCTCCAGAAACTCTGTTGAGCCTTCATCTATTTTTAAGCTATGGTAAAGATGTTTATATGTCCCCACTTTTTAGGAGAAACATCTTCTAAAAGGTTGTATGAGATTTAGAAGAAATGCTTTTCTTGAGAAAGTAAATTACTGCCTTGCATGAATGCCTTGTGGCCTGGTGCCTCAGCTCCCAGTACTACTTAGCTTCAGCATCATATGGAGTGACTATTCTTGCCTTTCTAAATTTGCCACTCAGCTTGCACGCATTATATCTTACATGGAGCCAAAAAATAATACTTACTTGAAATCCATTTTTTCCCCACCCAAAGAGGCATAATGAGTTATAGCTGAAAATTTGTTCACCAGCTGAGAACTACCAAATTCATCTGTATACTTCCATTGTTAAGAAAACAACCTCCATCTTCTCAGTGCTGCTGGCTCTCCCTCCATAGGAAAGTCCTCTGGTGTTCATTACTGCTGCTGCTAAACTGCCAGCAGCAGGGAAAATAGTATTATGGTACTGCAGTAGCTGCAAGATAGTTAAGATTTTCATTACAAGACTGATTTTCTCCCCAAGCCCCCTCCAAAATGCCTAATAAAAGATGTTTCAGCATCAAATTTGGCATGTGTGGTCTGTGACTAGCAGAATTGGAGTATGTTTGATTGAATAACTAGGTGTCAATCAACCCAGTGATCCTTGCCTCCCAAATTTCACTGCAAAATAAGTGTGTCATGGAAATCATAAATGATATTTATTAGAAGGGGCTTGGTGAGACATTCACTGAAGCAAAGTTGAACTGTTGGAAGGCAGATTTTAGAATTAGCATGAGAGATGAAAGCCCGCTGATGAGGGAATAATTTTTTTAAAATCTGGTATTGGCAAATTTCACAAGACATTTCCACCCTGCCGTGAGTTTCAGGGACTGCCTGTGCTCACAGAAAAGTGAAATACCCAGAGTAGGAGACACAGCAGAAAGCAGCTTTGATATGCTGCCTGTATTTCTGTATTTCCTGGCAGAGGCTTCCTAAATCCCAAAATGGGTTCCCAAGTCCAGGTGCCCAGACCCCACATAAGAAATGCACCTATCTTGGAAAGAACACAATATACTCTCCTTGGGTTTTTCCAAACCCTCAAGGGCTTTATCTCAAGCGTGATAACGCCTGGAGGCACTGTCTGCCTGGCCTGGCTGTGCATGCTGCCCGGCTCCTCACGTGTCCCGTGTGCCCATCACTCATCCTGCTGTGATAGGCTTGTGGGGAGGGTCAGAACGTGGAGTTTGAGACCCACATAAAAACCTCTGGCCCTTCAGGTGATCAAGGATGGCAGAAAATAGTGTGAACCTTCCCCAGCTGTTCTTCCCCAGAACTTCCATGTTCCAGTTGCTAGCGGTTAGCACTTTTGCACCCCTTGCTCTTTTAATCCTGCTTCTTTGAGCCCTCGGTGCTCTCATCTTCTCTGCCTCAAACTCACAAGAAGGGAACAAAGGCAATGTAGTGGTTGCCTCAGGATTTCTGCATTTGTGGAGCTTCACCGGCAGGACAGTGAACCATGAAGCAGGTTTCCCGACCGCATGTGGGCAGGGGAGGAAGATGTTACCCCATTCCAAAAGAGAAGGCGTTTTATGCGAATGTGCTGGTGGCAACCACTTTGGAGCTCAAGCTAGGAGGTGGTGTTCCATGTTCTGACTTTGTAAATGAGCAATTCTTAATTTTTGGTTTTATCTAGAAATGTAGGAAATGTTTAGAGCCTGTGCTAATCCTCAACAAACTTGTTTAAACCCAAACAATTTCCATTTACTATTCTAGTATTTGCCTTCAGAACTGTGTGCAGCTGAGCAGTCTTCTAGTGGGTCAGTCTGCCAAGTAAGGGCTGAATTAGTACATGAGAGTTTGTTCTTTCTTTTGTCTTATTACATTTTCAAGCAGCCCTTGGATCTGCTGTCTGACCTTCCATTTGTAATTATGAGTTTAATTAGCAGTGACTTAACTTCCAGCTTCATTTCATGTTAACAAGCAGACTACATGCAGTTCCGTGGCTGCACAGATACTCTGAAGCTCAGGTTTAGGAGAGCTTGTCTGACAAGAGGTTAAGAATCATGCAGGGAAAGTAGGACATCGAACAGTAGGCTATTTGCAAATTCAGGAGAGTTTAAATGTAAGATTTTTATCAATTTGATCTTTCACATTCGCACATGCTATGGATGCTTTGAAAGGCAGCTGTATATATGCATTCAGGGACTGCATACAAACATGGTGTATCT